AGTCAAGTCGACCTTGAAACATCCTCCACCGTTGTACGAATGAAAAAAATTGTTGATACCACGTGAGACAGCTTTCTGTACCGAACAACTTTTGTACAAACATCTTTTCCGTAGCTTCAACCCATTCCGAGATACTCATTCATTGTACTCAGTTAGACGAAAGGCACTCTGTACGTCTCTGTGACGCCCGTTCGTCACGTTGCACGAACGACAGTCAACGAAACTCGTTTGCAGGTATGGCGCTGACCGGGTTCGTCTGCACGGTGTTTTGGATTTACCGGGGCACGCCGATGATCAAAGCGTCCGGCCGAGAGTTGTCGTTCTTGTTGCTGACCGGGGCGTTCGGCTGCTTCTCGATGACGTTCGCGGTGGTGGCCAAGCCGAGCGTCGAGAGCTGCGCGGTGGTTCGCTTCGGCATCGGGTTCTGCTACACCGTTTGCTACGCCGCGCTCGCCACCAAGATCAATCGAATTCACAGGATATTCAACGATCCTGGCCACAGTCCGCGCAGACGACGGTAATAATTTCCTCTCCCTCCTCGTAATTGGGGATCGTAAGTCCCCATTTTGAAATCGTCGACACAGTTTTCTCCGACAACGACATTAGACAGTTAGGCATATCGCCACGGACGTTGCCTCGGCTATGGTCTTTACCACTAGTATATAATCATCATTCTTGTTGCTGGTGAAAATAGTTAATTATACAAAAATGTCTCGACCATGTCCAGAAAATGATGGCTCTGCTATTGCATCAATATATATATATATATATATATATATATATATATATATATATATATATTGTCAACTAAAAATAAAGCTAAACCTTGCGTCATCGTTAAAAAAACATTGATGAACAAATATCATAATAATGTCATCGGTCAGGTATCATTGTCGGTTAATCACTGTCGTCGGCTAAAACTGTGTGGTCGGGCAATGGTCTGGAGTCGATGAAATATTGTCGAAGAATTCTGTGTCAATGATTTCAATGTGACACCGTAAGAGTGTCTAGTGTCAGGGTTGAAAGGAAAGTTTATCCGCGGCTAATTCACAGACGAATTCTATACAGGGTGTACGTATCAAGGCTAACGTCAATACAAACCAAAGTTTCAAGCCAAAGTTAACAAAACAGAGATAATATATATATATATATGTAGAGTGTTTCGTAACTTGTGGGACCCACTTCGGGAGCTGATTGTAATAATGAAAGAAAATCATATAAATATAAGTCCTATCTGTCTTTGTTTATGAGATATAATGAATTTTATAAACAGAGTAAATTCTAGTGAGCTAGTTTTACCAAGGATGTTACATTCAACTTTCATAATAATCATAATTGGGATGAAAAAAACCCACACGTTGTTGTGCATTCAGGACATCAACACCAGTTTAGTTGAAACGTATGGGCAGGAATAATTGATAAATTTTTAATTGGACCTTTTTCTGT